TATTTAAAAAGTTAAAAAAATTATATTTGAAATTATAAACGTCGTTCATTTTTTAAAAATAAATTTGGTTAAAACATATGTTAAAAAATGAATAGTTCGAATGACTAAGATCAGACCCAAAATAAATCCGTCAAACCCAAATGATTTATCAAGTTGGATAGTCTATACTCCATGTCATAAGCAATTATGCTATATTTTAAGAATTTCATGTTATCGGTGTGTCCAATTAATAACAAAGGACCTCACAATTACATGACTTAAAACATAAATAAAATAATGGCAAAAATGGCAATACATTATTGGATCAGCACACATTGACATAGGTTTCGTTCGATTTACCTCTCTGTCAGAATTTTTTATTTAACAGAATTAATTGAAAAAGTGAAATTTCTAACTGTTCATCTATACAATAATAAAATTATATGAATTATTAATTGAAATAAAATTTTAACATTATTAAAAAATGTTAATTAACTTGATGATTTATTAATAAATGACCTATTTATTATGAAATTAGAAACTTCAGGGGTGTGTAATTTACCCTATTTTAAAAGTTGAAAATTTGTTTGGTTATGAGTTTTGAAAATATTTTTTTTGTGATTTGTAGTTTTTTTTTTAAAATTTATTTTTAGTTGAATAGATGGTATGTGAGAGAAAATTTAATTGATTGATGTATAGAATGTGAGAGAACGAAAGATAAGAGAAAAAAGAAAAAAAAAATGATTTATTAATAACAATAAAAAGGAGAGAAAAAAGAAAAAATTAAGTTTTGAATTGTATTTTAAAAACTAATTAACTAAGTAAGGAATGTTTAGTATAACCTATATAAGTGTATTTATTTAGATAAATATATTTATTTGAGTTATATTACCTCTTTACTCTTTTATATATTTTTCATAAAAAATAAAAAACACATTTATTTAAATCATTCTAAACATGTTCTAAATTTTTTAATTTTTTTTTATTCAAATCATGTTTTAAAAATTAAACCAAACACTATCTCTGGCCCCGTCAAGGGTTCGGTCAACGCAAACGTTAACATCATACTGACATGTCCGATCCCCTGACCCAAGACATTCCACCACTGTAAAGTACCAACAATTAGATTGTATTGTAGCCAATATCTCTCTCTCTCCTCCAACTCCTCTTCTCTTTCGTTTTCCTTCATTCAAATCAAATCCCCTTTTTTTCCATTCTCAGATCTCATCCAATTTTTTTTTTTATTTTTTACACAATTTGAAAAAAAAACTTACCGATACGCTCATTTTTTTTTCATAATCATATTTATTGGGTTTTAAAATAAATATTGATCAATTTTTGTAAATTTTTAAGTTTGATCTAATATATTTCGTATTTTTAATTCACTATAAACTAAGTTTTTTACATTTTATTTTAATAATTAATAACTTTATATTATAGAAAAAATCAATCACTAACTATTATATATAAGATAAACAATGACAAAAGTAAGAGAATAAATAAAAAAAACTTATATATATATATATATATATTTTAATCAAGCCAAATAGATAATGACCACACTTATTATTATTATTTTCAAAGACACACACAAACAAAATGGTTGAGTGATAGCAGCTGAATACAATAGCATAGGTCTTATAGTTTCAACAAATCAATAACCTGTTCTTCATCTTCTCTCTTCTCTCTCTCTATATCTTGCTCCTCCATCTTCCCTCTTCTCTCTCTATCTCTCTTCCCCCATTTTCAAATTTTTTTTTTTTGCGTGTTTTTTTGAAAGAAGCAATTCGGAACCGTTACGTAACGGTGCGTAACAGGCCGTTACGGCACCGTTGCGACCGCTATAGCGGCTGCTATGGCCGACACACCTGTGAATCTCAATCACACTACAAAAGCGGTCGTAACGGGTAGCGGCAACCACCACAACCGTTGCGTAATGGTGTTCCGTAACGGTTGCGGCTGCTTTTTAAAACCTTGGGTATGGGAATACGTTAAATAGTTATTTTTTTTAAATATATTTATTATATGAAGATGAGTTAAAAAAAAAGGAATAACAAATTTGTTAAAAAAAATAACAAATAAAAATTATTTTAGGCATAAAATAAATTATATTATATATGATAAAATAATTTTTTTTATTTATTTTAGACATAAAAAATATATTATTTATGGCATATTATATTATACAATATTTTTTTTGAGTGAATAATATTATATAATAAGAATACTATTATATATTATTATACTAGTATCATTTATAAATAGAATGCAGAGAAAGAGAATAGAGAGGAAGAGAAGACGAAGACAAAGAAGGAGAGAGAGAGAGAGAGAGAGAGAGACACACACACACACACAGAACAAAGGGAAATCAAAGTCCTAGAGTCATTTTCTGGGTGGAATCAACTTCGCGATGTTGGTTTTCAGATCTCCTTCGATTCAGTCTAGTTCGCGACTAGGGTTTACCCTTCGATCTTGCTTCGTGACTCGACATGCTTTGCAAAGGTGAGTTTCAGCCCACTCTCTCTCTCTATCACTTTCTCTCTCTATCTCTGAGTTTCAGCCGTATATACCATCTTTCTTCCTCGTTTGCCATATCCATTTTCTCCATGCCGTATCCTGACTGTATCTCGTACCCATACCCGTATCGTGTCGTGTCGTGTCAACATGGGTACTTCGTTGAATCTGATGAGTCCGTGTAACATAGATGCCAAGTTAGACACCTTCTTCAGATTCACATAAAGTCCTTAGGCTCGTGCCTTTTATTTGGCTCCATTTGTAGGCTTTAGGCTCAAGAAAGGCACGCTTTTTTAGATAATAAAAAAGTATCTTTATCTTTTATTTGTTTTTCAATAGCCACTAATGGATATGTTTTATACCATATTTACAATCTTTATACCAATAATTTTTTTTTTTTTTGGTTTTGTTTTGTTTTTGTTTTTGTTTTTGTATTCTAGGTTCATAAGCTTATGTTTGATTATATGAAATAGATCTTTGTAATGCTTAGCTTAATAATATGTTTAAAACGTTTACAACTAACTTTTTCATTATTGCAATTTGCAAAATGGAAATAGTTATTTGCTTTCGTGAATGCCTATACCATTAGGTTTTATTTCTTGGCAAACCTGTTTGACAAAACTCCTTTGAGTTGTAATTTTATTCGCATTTTTATTTCAGTGAGACTTTGAGTATTTAGATGCGAATCCAACCCGAATCAAGCCTTTCAGAGAAGTTTGTGTTGACAATGCTTTCAAGATTGCCACTTCGCTGATTATGACGGGGATCGAGCTGTTATTTTTTTCCAGTTTTTCCATTTTTGGCCTTCCCGCTCGAGCGGGGAAAGTGACGCTCGAGCGGGGATTGGAAGCTCTCAGCATCTCTGCAGTCGCCTGTAAAAATACTGGAATGTGTGATTTTACGCTCGAGCGGATGCTCCTACGCTCGAGCGCATCTCAGTTTGTTCGCACGCAGTTTTTGGTCAGTCCGCTCGAGCGGGCTGTGTTGAGCTCGAGCGGAGATCGCGGGACAGATTCTATAAATTCGCGTGTTGGGTAAGATTTTAGGATAACTGCTCCAGATCTTCTTTTTGGTATCTGGGGATACTTTGGGAGTTTTCTTTGATGTTTTGATTGAGTATTCAACTCATGATCTAAAGAGAGTACATCAAAGGTTTGTTTGTTATACACAAAAGAGAGAGTTATTCTTCAGTTGTGGATTCTGAAGAATTCGAGCCTGAAGCTTTGGTGGAATCCGGAGTGGCTCATCAGAAAGACAATTCCGTGGTGAAGATGGGGTTGGAAGAGGCACATAAAGGTTGGTTCAATTAGGCGTTGTGGATTCGCTAGGTAATTGAGAGTATACCTGTGTAATTCCTTTAATTCTTCTTAGTGGATTGTCTTGTGGCTGTTGCCCGTGGTTTTTTGATCACAGTTGGAGGTGTCCAATTGTGGTTTTTTCCACGTTAAATCGTTGTGTCTCTTTGTCTTGATTGTTTGATTGTTTGATTGGGATTGTTATATTCTGCTTTAAATTGTTACATAATCACAAATCAACATCTAGGGGATTTCTAGATTTTTCACCAAAATTATCAATTCAAAATATTTACATTTGTGTTGATTTGTCTAACTTTCTTAGTTGATGTGTCAACAAAATTTCTCCTTTTTCTGTTTCGGTTACATATTTCAAAATGCTTTCACTTGCAAGCTCCGTTATCAGAATCTTATGATTCACGATTCGATTCACAATTTTTGTAAAATCTATATGAATCTATTTTGGAAGTGAATCTCTAGTGAGTTGCACGATTCACAATCGATTCACGATTCGATTCACTTTTTACTATTCATACAATTTTTGAAATTATTGTGTCCGGCATATTTTCGATTTTTTTTTCCTCCATCTTTTTAGTAAAAATGACATAATGCAACTTCTAATAGCGTTTAATACTAAAATAACCAACATATATATATAATTTTTTGTTATTTTAGTGATCATGGGATTTTTAGTGATCAATACCGTTGTTAATTATTGTTACTTTGGAAATTGATAGTTTGTCCATTTGGTTATTATCTTTATTAAGAATGGTTATCTAAAAAAAAAGATATGATGGTGACCTTACATAATAACCTTTGTTAACTTTTTACCTATTAAACTATGTGATTATCATTCAAAATAACATTTTTATTAATTTAAATCTAAATATTTCATATTCACAAGATATATATAACATTTAAATGTGTAGATATATGTGTTTAAGTAATTTAAAAAAAAAATGACTGAATCTTTATGATTCACGATTCAATTCGATTCGATTCGCTTCGCGATTTGGTACGAGACCATTTTGATTCCCGATATGAATCCCGATTTGACAACTATGCTTGCAAGTGCATATGTAATATACATTCTTATGTCACATGCACTTTACTTCTTTCATGCTCACATTTTATGTTGTGCCTTTCGCTTAGGCTTTGGGAGATTTTCTCACCTTAGTGTGCCGTGAGCCTTTAACAACTATGCCCTTACCTCACCCTTCCCCTTTAAATGCCAACGTATTAGCACGTGGCGTCTGTGGCGTTTATGAACTAAACATTTCTGTGATCTATGGGAAAACTTTTGTCTTTTATTATATATGCAGTTTTGTAGATTTTTCTTTTTATATTGCAAATGTTGTGCTCTCTCTAACGGTAAAAGTTAGATTAGGTTTTAGGGTTGTTTTATATAACTTTCTTTGTTTTGATAATTGTGATTCATTTTGTTATTTACCGTTTCCATCTTGATTTCAATGTTCTCTTTGCAGGATATAGCAAATACAGAGTTGGCTCCAACACATCCAATTCGGCTTGGATTGGCTCTTAACTTCTTTGTATTTTACTATGAAATTTTGAATTCTCCTGATCGAGCATGCAGCCTTGCAAAACAGGTAAAGGAACATATCTTAGTCTCTATAGATAAAAAGAGTATATTAATAACTGAAATTTTTGTTAATCAAGGTTCAATGTTAATTTGGGGAAGGACATGACGAGTTCACTTTTTTTTTGCACATTCTTTGATCTGAATTTTATCGCGACCCTTTTGTATAATTCAGATGCTTACCAAATACTGGGACAACATATGGGTCCTCTGCTAAAAAGTAGCCATATTTGTACTTTATAATCCGTACTTCATTCTAGTTAACTAGATTCATTTCATGAATGTGGGCCTAGGGTATAACTAACATTACTGGGGCTCTTAAGAACCAGAAGTCTTCTTTTTCATGAACCAAACTAGTGAGCAAATGAGAAACTGTCCCAAAAAAGAGTAATTAGACGAATGCTCCTTACAAGCATAATTGTGGCGCCCTCTTGATAGTTCTATTGTTGTAGTTGGTTAATGAATGAGTTATTTTTAATTTATTAGTAACTAGTGCCTGTTTCTAATTGTAATCCGATTTCCATCAGGCTTTTGATGAAGCCATTGCAGAGTTGGACACACTGGGAGAGGATTCGTACAAGGACAGCACTTTGATAATGCAACTCCTTCGTGATAATCTGACTTAGTGGACCTCAGACATGCAGGTTTAGTACTTTTTACATTTCATTCTTTTTGGTTATGTATCAATGTATTGTTTTAACTCATGCATTACTGGACCTATTTATAGGATGATGGAGCAGAGGAGATCAAAGAAGCACCCAAGCACGAAGAGGAGAAGCAGTAAACTGATTCGTTTTCATTCTAGTATTCCACTTCTCCTCTGTTTGTTTTTGACTGGAGAAGTTGTTTGGACCCTCTATCTATTTGGTTTGGAGCCTCTAGGATTTGATGTGATTATTGTTTTTTAATTTCAGAGCACGAGTGTTTACTTTTGTGGTTTAATGATTAGTGCCTAAATCCAGTTTGGTTTGCAATTTTTAGAAACAATTTTCTCTTAGTTTTTGATTTAGATTTTTATATTTTTAACGATTTTTTAAAAATGTTTTAATCAATTTTTTTTAATCTTTGGCTTCACTTAATCTTAATATATTTAAAAAGTAAAAATATGGGTGAAATTTTTTTTGAGCAAACTTCACTTTACCTCTTGTAGTTTGGGTCATGTACGGTCTATTCTTTTAACGTTTGGAAATGATCACATAACCTTCATGTGATTTGTGGACAGAACTGTACTGTTAGACTCATTAACTATTTACCATTGTATATAAGTGGCATTCATGTCATATATTTTTGTTTTGGGTAAAGCACCATTAAATCCCGAATTTGAGAATCTTAACCCATTTAGTCCTGAAGGTTTTTTGTTGGACTAATAGGTCCTATTTTATGTGTAAAGACATTAGTACCCATTTTTTTAGGCGACTGGGTCAGTAATTGATGGGATAATTTTGGGTTGGTGTTTATGTGTAATTTACCGAATTGCCCAAGAAGCTTACTATAGGCATTTTTTAGATTCCATTCCTTTATGAACATCAAACATTAACAAACAACAAACATCAAACATCAACAAAACATAATCAAAACATCAACAACATCAAACATTAAAACATCAACAAACATAATCAAACACGTCAACAACATCAAACATCATCAAAAAAATTGTGAACATCATCAACATCAACAAAACATCATCAAACATCAACAAACATCATAAAAAAATTGTGAACACCACAACATCAACAAACATCATCAACATTCGAACATCATCACCAATATATTCGAACATCATCAAACATTAAATAATTTCTCCAGATTAACAAACGTTAAACATCAACAAACATCCAACATTAAATAATCATCAAACATTAAGGAATAGATTCAATATATTCGATATATTCGAACATCAAACATTGAATAATTCTCTCTCTCACAAGTCAGAACTGAAGATGTATTATTGTATCGATTATATATTCGAACATCAACATCAATTTTTCGTCTCTGTTTTACAATTCGTGATGGGTAAATAGCAGCACTTGGATCAACATCGCAACATCAGCGCCGTGAGATCGGAACATCAGCAACATGATCAACATCGCAACATCAGCGCCGTGAGATCGGAACATCAGCAACATGATCAACATCGCAACATCAGCGCCGTGAGATCGGAACATCAGCAACATGATCAACATCGCAACATCAGCGCCGTGAGATCGGAACATCAGCAACATGATCAACATCGCAACATCAGCGCCGTGAATGTGGTTTTGGGTCTGGTTTTGATTCTGGGTGTTGTGCATTTTGATAGGTATGGTTGTGATGAAGATATATATATGGATATAGATGGTTTTACATGGAAGATGGGTGTAGAGATTGAAGCAACAACAACAAGAATATACATCATCAACAACCATACTGTTGTTGAAGACCATACTGTTGTGAACATGAAGACCATGATGTTTGTTCACAACAGAAACATGAAGACCATGTTTCTCTCCTAATAACTGAAATATCCTACATTTCTATACGAGTCCACACGTTCCACGAAATTCTCTCCTAATAAAAAGGAATGTTACAGTATATCCTTAATAAACAAACACTAACATTAGGATAGGACCTAACGGTTCATTTATGTGATTGTATCAGTGTTGACCAACTATCAATTGCTAATGTTTTAGTCATTGTCCATGGTTGGTTTAGTGTATTTCTACTGGGCTGTGGCTCACCCTATATGGGAATATCATTTTCAGGTGCAGGAAGCATGCCACCTCCAAGGACATAGCTGGAGGCTAGTGGCGGACATACTTTTGTCGCTTAACTTTTGATGTATTACATGTAACTTCAAGCCTAGGGCTTATTGTGTAAACGAGTTAGTACTCTTTTGTTGTAACCAAGTGTTAACTTGGAAAGCTGTAAGCCCGTAGGGCATTTTGTTATGTTGTTGACATGTAATACTTATGTAATGAAATTCTAATGAAATGAAAGAATGTGGTTAGCTTATATGTAAATGTATGTCTTATTTGATGGGTTTATTGTTGTTATTTTGAGGGCGTTACAACTATGCTTGCAAGTGCATATTTAATATACATTCTTATGTCACATGCACTTTACTTCTTTCATGCTCACATTTTATGTTGTGCCTTTCGCTTAGGCTTTGGGAGATTTTCTCACCTTAGTGCGCCGTGAGCCTTTAACAACTATGCCCTTACCGCACCCTTCCCCTTTAAATGCCAACGTATTGGCACATGGCGTCTGTGGAGTTTATGAACTAAATATTTCTGTGATCTATGGGAAAACTTTTGTCTTTTATTATATATGCAGTTTTGTAGATTTTTCTTTTCATATTGCAAATGTTATGCTCTCTCTAATGGTAAAAATTAGATTAGGTTTTAGGGTTGTTTTATATAACTTTCTTTGTTTTGATAATTGTGATTCATTTTGTTATTTACCGTTTCCATCTTGATTTCAATGTTCTCTTTGCAGGATATAGCAAATACAGAGTTGGCTCCAACACATCCAATTCGGCTTGGATTGGCTCTTAACTTCTCTGTATTTTACTATGAAATTTTGAATTCTCCTGATTGAGCATGCAGCCTTGCAAAACAGGTAAAGGAACATATCTTAGTCTCTATAGATAAAAAGAGGATATTAATAACTGAAATTTTTGTTAATCAAGGTTCAATGTTAATTTGGGGAAGGACATGACGAGTTCACTTTTCTTTTGCACATTCTTTGATCTGAATTTTATCGCGACCCTTTTTGTATAATTCAGATGCTTACCAAATACTGGGACAACATATGGGTCCTCTGCTAAAAAGTAGCCATATTTGTACTTTATAATCCGTACTTCATTCTAGTTAACTAGATTCATTTCATGAATGTGGGCCTAGGGTATAACTAACATTGTTGTGTGACTTTTGTCTGGGGCTCTTAAGAACCAGAAGTCTTCTTTTTCATGAACCAAACTAGTGAGCAAATGAGAAACTGCCCCAAAAAAGAGTAATTAGACGAATGCTCCTTACAAGCATAATTGTGGCGCCCTCTTGATAGTTCTATTGTTATAGTTGGTTAATGAATGAGTTATTTTTAATTTATTAGTAACTAGTGCCTGTTTCTAATTGTAATCCGATTTCCATCAGGCTTTTGATGAAGCCATTGCAGAGTTGGACACACTGGGAGAGGATTCGTACAAGGACAGCACTTTGATAATGCAACTCCTTCGTGATAATCTGACTTTGTGGACCTCAGACATGCAGGTTTAGTACCTTTTACATTTAATTCTTTTTGGTTATGTATCAATGTATTGTTTTAACTCATGCATTACTGGACCTATTTATAGGATGATGGAGCAGAGGAGATCAAAGAAGCACCCAAGCACGAAGAGGAGAAGCAGTAAACTGATTCGTTTTCATTCTAGTATTCCACTTCTCCTCTGTTTGTTTTTGACTGGAGAAGTTGTTTGGACCCTCTATCTATTTGGTTTGGAGCCTCTAGGATTTGATGTGATTATTGTTTTTTAATTTCAGAGCACGAGTGTTTACTTTTGTGGTTTAATGATTAGTGCCTAAATCCAGTTTGGTTTGCAATTTTTAGAAACAGTTTTCTCTTAGTTTTTGATTTAGATTTTTATATTTTTAACGATTTTTTTAAAATGTTTTAATCAATTTTTTTTAATCTTTGGCTTCACTTAATCTTAATATATTTAAAAAGTAAAAATATGGGTGAAATTTTTTTTGAGCAAACTTCACTTTACCTCTTGTAGTTTGGGCCATGTACGGTCTATTCTTTTAACGTTTGGAAATGATCACATAACCTTCATGTGATTTGTGGACAGAACTGTACTGTTAGACTCGTTAACTATTTACCATTGTATATAAGTGGCATTCATGTCATAAATTTTTGTTTTTTACTCATGTAAACGTAATAGTGAGAAAACAAAATTATTTATTTGGGAGGAAAAAAAATTCAAGGTTTGACTTTGGTCCACAAATCGAATTCTAATTTTTTAATTGATTCAATGTATACCTTTAATTAGGGGTGTGCGCGGGTTGGTTGCGGCCGCAGAACTTCCAATCCGCCATCCGTCCGCCAGATTGGCGGATTAGAGAAAATCAATCCGCATCCGTCCACCAATCCGGCGGATGTGAATTGAGCGGATTGGCGGTTTGGCGGATGGATGCGAATCGGTTTGGCGGTTTAAGATTTTTTGAATTTTCAACATAATTCAACTTGGACGCTTCCTAAAAAAAAAAAGAAAAAAAAGTATTATAGTCAATGACTTAAAAAATTATTGTAATAACTGTATGTCTCATCCAAAAAAAGAAAATTTGAAACTATAAAATATCACAATCATTGCATGGCTCATCCACATATTACAATCACAGTCATATTTTCTATTTATTATTTTTAAAGTAAAATTTAAAAACCAAAAAATATAGATAAATAATATGTTTATTTTTTTTAATTCAAAAAATATATTCAAATTGAAAACTTTTTTTCAACAGAATATTTAAACTCTTTTTCAATTGAAAACACAAACAAAATATTTAAACAAATTGAAAATATAAAGTCTTATAAATTATTAGGGTGCTCGCGGTTTGGCGGTTCGGTTGCAGCTAAAGGAATCTCCAATCCGCCATCCGTCCGCCAAATTGGCGGATTGGAGAAAATCAATCCGCAACCGTCCGCTCGTCATCACACATCCGTCCAAAATGTGGCGGATCGGTTCGGTTCGGTCGGTTTTGGCGGATCGGTATATTCGCAGCTCACCCCTACCTTTAATTTTTAATATAGTATTAATTCTAACCGTTCATTTATATTTGTTAGTAATAACTAATGAAAAATGGGCAATATAAACAATTTAACTATTTTTTCCTTAATTATTATTGACATACAACTTAACTATACCGTTGTCTATCATCACTCATCCTCTATCCCAGTCCACTATCATCCCTCCAACCTTGTTAGCAATCAATTGATACTCTTCCCCTTCCAGAAGTCATTGCCACCCCCTCTCTATCTTTTCCTAGTCCGTAGCCACTAACGTCATGCCAATCAACACTATCGACAAAAAATAATTAAATTGTCTAAAGCAATCCTGTAAAATTAATTAAATTGTCTAAGGTAACACTGTTTACGTAGCCACTAAGGATGACTTTTTGTCTTTTTACGAAAATATGTACAAAAAGTAAATTTTTTTTTAAAAGTTTTTGATATAGATTATTAGCTTTTAAATTCTTTTAATAACTTTTTAAATAAAAAAGTCACTTGCCAAACGAAACCTTAATAATTTGTTT